GGGGGCCCGGGGTGGGGGGCGGGCGCGGGGCAGCCTCCCCTCCCGCCCCCGCTTCCCGGCAGACCGCGTTCCCCGCCGTTCCCGGGACCTCCTGTCTCAGTTGCTCACAGCTCCCCTAAACCAACCCCAGGGCTTCCCTGCCTTCTGACCCCCAGACTTGTCCTTCAGCCTTCAAACTCCTTGCATGACCTCAGCCCCGGCTTTTCAGGGTTTTGTGACCCCCAGTTCGTAATGCCATCCTTTCACCCCAGATCTCTGCCTTAGGTTCCATAGTCCCCTTTTGTGGTCCAGAGAGCAGGTGAGGACATCCGTTCCCCCCACCCCGGCCTCCTCTTCTGTCCCCAGAGACCTCTCAAAGCCCCACAGGCCAACTTTGCACATCTGTTATGCAGAAGCTTGTGTGAAGGGGATGGAGACGGCTCCGAGGGGCGGGGGCGGGGCGGCCTCGGAGCCTGGTGCAGTCAGCGTCCGGCCCACCCCCTGGGGCGCAGCCTCTCCCGTCTGTCTCTGTCCCTTCGGGCTGCAGCTGCCTCACCGGCTCTCCCCGTGGCTCAGCACTCTTGCTCTGCTTCTGTCTCTGTCTGTCTCTAGCCCTCCACTTTGCTCTCTGGTCTGTGCCCGCCGACACCTGTCTGTGTCTTTCTGCCCCTCTCCACCTCCATATCTGTGAGCTGAGAGTTTCCTGCTTGGGCCCAGGTCTTTCCCCTTGCAGCATCTGCCCCTGGGGAGACAGAGGCTTGTGTCACTCCACTCCTCTGCCCTGGAAGGTTCTTCCTGCCCCACCCCCCTTCCCTTCACTCTTCCTCCTCCTCTCTTCCTGACTGACCCCTTAGGGCTGGCAGACGTGGAGAAAGGGCTCGCAGAGACCCCTCCCGAAGCTGGGTATTGCCTTCCTCCATTGCCCCTCGCTCCCACCCCAGGGTTCACCCCTGCCTGGCCCTTCTTGACCTCCGGGGCTTTCTCCTTTTCTCAAGGTCACCCACTTGACAGTACAGGATTATAAAAAGAGCAGTGGCCTGGGACTCCTTTTGACTGTTTTGTCAAATTCAGCTTCTGTGACCCGGGTCACTTATGTCCCCTCTCTACCTGTCCTCCCTGAACTCTTACCACCCACCCATTAGATCTGGCCCTGGGCCAAGCTCATCAGTTTTAGCCTTGGAGCCCTCAGGCTGGCCTATGGCCAGCAGGGGCTTGCCTCCTGGACACAAGGGGCCTGAGGCTTCTCAAGCATGGAGGAACTGAGAGTCATGAGAGCCGTGTGGCCAACCACAGCTGAGACCTTGGCCTCCCTCTCCCCCCACAAAGCGTGGCCTTCCCAGGCTTCCCCTTCTCACTCCTGAGACCGTCGGGTGGGCTCAGCACGGGGATGCTCAAGCTCTGGTGCCTGCCTGCCCCCCAGACAGCCCTTCAGCCCCAGTGAACGTCACCGTCAGGCACCTGAAGGCCAACTCTGCAGTGGTCAGCTGGGATGTCCTGGAAGATGAGGTTGTCATTGGATTTGCCATCTCTCAGCAGGTAACCCCTTGAGGGTCCTGGGGCAGGAAGGACAAATTGAGACAGTGTCAGAGTGGGTGAAGGATGGTGGTGTCATGAAAATAGGAAAGAGGAACACAGAGCAAGACAGATGGGCAGCAAACTGCACATTGGGCTCGAAACTGGAGCCTCAGAAGGCCTCAGTCATTTGTAGAGGGAACAGGAGCTCTCCGCTGGGACAGCTCAGACGCAGTGGTCAGGGCCTGGCTCCAGTTCTTACGAGGTATGTGGCCTCAGGCAACTTCCCTAGCCTCCCTGAACCTGTTTCCTTAGCTGTATAATGGGGATTATGGTACCTGAGAGGATGGGTGATGGCACAGGTAAAGGGTTAGTCACTAGTGGGAGGTGGCAGATGTAGGTTTGGGGCCTGGGCACTGACACATGTGTGGCCCTCACCTTTGCAGAAGAAAGACGTGAGGATGCTGCGCTTCATCCAGGAAGTGAACACCACCACCCGCTCATGCGCCCTCTGGGACCTGGAGGAGGACACGGAGTATATCGTGCATGTACAGGCCATCTCCATTCAGGGACAGAGCCCAGCCAGCGAGCCGGTGCTCTTCAAGACCCCTCGAGAGGCCGAGAAGATGGCCTCTAAGAACAAAGGCAGGCCCTGGGCATGTCGAAGGAGCAGGGTGGGCACAGTTGGGGCCAGACTGGTGGGTGATTTGAGAACAGCTCTCCCCCGTCCTCCTCACAACGAGAACAGCAGCACCCGAGAGCAGAGTCCGTTGCAGTCGCCCAGGGGACTTGCTCTGTAAATTCTCACGTTTAGATTGAGTCCAATAGCTGCCACCTTAGGGAACTGTCGTTGTGTGCTGGGATGTCTTTGTGATAGGTGTGTGGGCTTCTATAGAGTTAAGCAGTTATTGTTGCGGGCTTAGCCCTCGAAGGATGGCTGGGAGAGGAAAGGAGCCCTGGCCTAGTGTCTCTTTCTCCACAGATGAAGTCACCATGAAGGAGATGGGGAAGAACCAACAGCTGCGGACAGGGGAGGTGCTCATCATCGTCGTGGTCCTGTTCATGTGGGCAGGTGAGTCTGCCCTTCGAGCCCTTCTTCTGTGCTTACCTTTGGGGAACCCGGGCACCCTGACCAGACCCTTCTCCCACAGTAACTAAGGGTAAGGGGCTTGAAGATAGTTAAGAGAAGTAAAAAGTTTCTGAGTCAAGACAGTTGTGAGGATCAAATCTGCCCACTTTTGTAGCCCATCCCTCACCAAACACAGCATATTACTAGTTACCTTATAAAATTCTATAGGAACTCAACTTTCCTCTCCCTCAAAAGCAGTTCAGCCTCCTGGGGTGGACACAGCCACAGACCCTGTATTTTCTGGCCATGGCCAAACCCTCTCCTTCCTCTTCAGGGTTTATAGACATCAGGCTTCAGGCCTGGGCAGCTCTGAGGAAGTCACTACCCGGCCTCAGGTTTGGGACCCTGTCCTCACTGCCCATCCTTCTAGATCCTCTGAGCCTGCCACCTTGGAAACCCCCGTCCAGCCATTGGAATAGCCCTTCCGCCTCTGTGCTTTGCAGCACATGGTTTGCTCCTTCAGCCCTTCTTATGTAAGTTAGTCAGGCTCAGGGCTATCTTTTCCAACTAGTCGGTGAGCTCCCTAAGGATAATGTCCAAGTATCATTCATCTTTGTACTCAATTCAGCTGGCATTTACTGATCAGCCACTCCATTCCAAGCAGTTCTGTTATAGTCATGATTAAGAATATCCTTGGGCTTGTAAGGAACTCATTCTGGAAGGAGACAGGCCCAAGCTTCACTATAATTGGGTGTGATGAGCATTATAATAGTAGCAAGTACTGGAGCAGAAAAGAGGGAATTCATTCTGGGAGTTAAGAGTAGAAATCAAGAAAAACAAAGTAGAGCCAGGGTGGTGGCGCACGCCTGTAATCCCAGCACTCGGGAGGCTGAGGCAGGAGGATCATTGTGAGTTCGAGACCAGCCTGGGCTACAAAGTGAGCTCCAGGCCAGCCTGAACTGCATAGTGAGACCCTGTCTCAAAAGACAAAAAAAAAAAGAAAAACAAAGTGGAGGTAACATGGGAGGGGAGCTTTGAAGCATAAATAGGAGCTCACCAGGTGGCCCAAAGAGGAAGGATATTCTGGACATGGTGTGTTCAAGAAACAAATTAAGCTCAATGTAGCCCAGAGGAGCTTGGACCTACAAAAGAAGGTGGGATGCAGGGGCATAAAGATTGGTGAGCCTGTGGACGGAGCCTGAGATTTGAATGCTATGCGAAAGCCTGATTAGCACAGTGGTTGAGAGGGCAGACTCTGTTGAGGAAGCATTTGGAAAGAAATGTTCCTGAGGCATATAAGAAATAGGCACTTTAAAAAACAAGAAAAACAAAGAGTTGTAGAAAGAGGAGGTTTGCTTACAGCACATTGTTAGACTTGGCACGACAGTATTTACATAATCATAACAATATAAACAGTGAATTAACCCAAAACTGTGGTGTAATTCTGTTAGAATAATGGAGGGGGACATAGGGGTGTTGTTGGGTTTTATCTGCCACGGTGGGGAGTCAACAGATATCTAAAATAGATCAAGAAATAACACTGTAAACATAGAAGTAAAACGAAGGAAAACATCTGTAAGAACTGGAGTGGCTGCTTTAGTACTGACTCAAAAAATATCATGTCCACATCCTACTAGCTTAATAAAACTAGACATCTAACAGGCCCCGGAGGCCGGGGAGTTCACCTCCCAGCTATACTGCAATGTGACCTTGAATTAAGTTAGTTCAACTCTCTGTGCACCAATGTCCTCACTTGTAAACTGGGGAAAAGTACACTTACTGAGTTGTGACGACTGAGAGAATGTCTGTGCACGAGGCCCGGCTCCTGCTCAACAAAGGCGATTATTGTTTCTGTTTCCCCCTAAAGGAAAAGGGGAGCTGTCAGAGACTTACAGGAAAGGTGGGGAGGAGTCATGATCAGATAGATGCAGGCTGTAGGAAGATCAGCTCAGCAGCAGAGGATGGCTCATGAGGGGACAGGTGGAACAGAAGCCAGAGGCTGGAGGGCGGCTGCTGAAGTCATGCAGGGGAGACCATCTGGAGAGACTGTTTGCATGCACAGTTAGGAATGAAGCAGGCCAGGCAAGAACTCAGGCCCTGGCCTCTGACTGCTCCCACTTGCCCTCCCAGGTGTCATTGCCCTCTTCTGCCGCCAGTATGACATTATCAAGGACAATGAACCCAATAACAACAAGGAGAAAACTAAGAGTGCCTCTGAAACCAGCACTCCAGAGCACCAGGGCGGGGGGCTCCTCCGCAGCAAGGTGAGGCCAAGACCTAGGCTGGTGGGTGGCCCCCTGCCTTGGGCACTGTAGCCCTGGACTGCAGAAGGGGTCAGCTCAGGGCCTGGCATGGTTGCACCTGGCAGAGCCAAATTTGGCTGCTGCCTGTGTGACCCAGGGGACACTGTAAATTGATTTTGGATTCTCTCCCTTTGCAGGGTGCCAAGGGCCAGTGGTGATTTAAAAACAAAAGGCAGGATGGGGAGGGCAGAATTCTTGGTTGGTGTGGGGCAGCAGGAGTAGGGGGTGCCGGGCTCATTTCCGCCCCTGCTGTGTTGGGTACTTTGGGCAGGCGCTTCACCTTGTACTTTCCTCTTCTGTAAAACAGATATGAAATCCTTTCAGTGCTTGCTCTGAGCAGCTCAGAAGACAGTAGAGAATGAGAGGATCTCATGATTCTGACGATGATTATCCAACAAACATCTGGCCCTCTCTGCATCTCCTCCTCCTTCCATCTTGTACCCTCTGGCTTACTGTCCGCTCTCTCGGCTTCTCTCTTTCTGGCACCTTTTCCTGAAGCCTCTTATTGACCCCTATTTCCAGAAACACTTCGACAATGTCAGTGGCTGAGGCTGTGCCTAGAGGCATATCTGCAGGATGTGAGCAAACCAGCCAGAGGGATGACTGCTGGGGGGAGAGTGGGCACCAGGGCGCTGAGCCCAGGACTCAGGTTTGGCCATTCAGCTGAGTGAGGCCGAAGGCTGGGCTGGAAAAGGCAGACAGACAAGATCTCCAGGGAGGGCTGCTCTTCTTTCCGCAAGGGACAAGAGCCTGGCTTTTAGGCTGCAGCTCTGCTGGCTCCCTTCCTCCTCCAGCCCTGTTTCCTCCCTTGCAAGAAGTCTATTCAATTGGCTTTGGCCACTTCTCTCATTTCTTTCCTCCCAGTTTCCAAACAAGCCCTCAGTGAACATCATCGAAGCATGACTGACTGTCTGCAGGGAGAAGGATTTCATTTTTCTTCTCTGCTGGTCTGCGGGTCCTGAGCACAGGGAGAGGGCCAACTGCAGTCAGGGAGGAGGCACAGCTAGCTGCAGTTCTCCTTCTTCCCTCTTAGTCTGATGAAAGAGGCTGAACTACAAACCCAAATTCTGCAAAAAAAATAATAATAAGCCACAAAACTAAAAAGGCCTGGCTCCATCCTGGAAAAGGCAAAGCTGCATGAAACAGCTTTCTGCCTCCTCATCTCTCCTGGACTGGCTTCCTCTTTGAGAAAATGCACAACGCTCTGGGAGATAACAAGCAGTAAGATTGCCTCAAGCTGTCTTTTAGACCGAGGAGCATTGGAGGAGGCCATGGAGCTGCCTGCCGTGCAGGGTCATGGCTGCTGTGAAGCCTTTTCTGGATGTAGCCATCAAAGACTTGTTTGTGGTGTGATATACACCTTTGTGAGTGTGTAAGATGTTACCTGTTTTGTCTCTTGAAACACATAATTGGAGGGCTCCGTTCCAGAGGACAGAGGGTTCTTCCAAGACTTACGCTGGTTGCCTGTACTCTCCCTGTCTTCTCTGACATTTACTTTGATGGTAAGATCATCAGTCTGAGGTTTAAAAAGACTTCGAAGGTACTGACCCTGTTTGTTAAGGAAGCATCTCTTGGAGTTTCAGCAGAGCCAGCTGGGGCAACTGAAAAGGCACATCCACATTTTATATCCTAGACTGCTGACCCACCCACTGTGGAGTGGAAGTTACTGGAAGGCAGGCCTAAGCCATGTACCACAGACAGGCAGAGCAGCCTGGCTGTCACAACTAGCCTCTAGAGTCTCCATATCTTACCATCTCATCAGGATTCTGGGAAAGTTACCCAGGGTCTTCATGTCCTTCCCTAGAGCCTGAGTGGTATGAGGTGACAGGTCTCTCTCTCCACTGCCCCTTTCTGGTTAAAAAACAAACTAACAAACAATGGTGCTTGATGAGGGGAGGCAAACTCTTCCCTGGGATTGGTGAGTTACAGCTGCCAGATGCCTGCACGGGAAGAGGTGGACTCTGCGTCTTCCACTGGTGACCAAGAAGAGGAGGGTAGAGGATGTGCCTAGCACAAGGCTGATACACAGTAGGTACTTGGGCAATATTTGCTGTGCTGAATGTGAAGAGCACTGGCCCCCAAGACAGAGAGCTGAAAGCCATCACCCAATGCCCATCCCTTCCTTCCAGTGTTTAAGCGCTCTCAAGGCTGGCTCAGCCACCACTCTGCTTCAGCCAAGTGTGGAAGCACAGGGGAGGAGAGACAGGGTAAAAGGCAGATGTCAGCAATACCAAGGGCTTCCTCATGGGAGGGCATGAGGCTCCACTCATTGTCTTGTGACTTCCATCCCTGCTGAATGGGGCTGCGAGGCCAAGGCTCCTTACGGGAGAGGTCCTTACCTCTGATCCAGTTAGAGCAATAACCACTTTTTAAACATAAAATAAAAAGACAAATGAAAAGGCACATCCTTGTCTCCTGGTAAATGCCCAAATGTTGCCCTCTTTTTCTGGCAATTGGCAGCAAGTCAGGATGTGTGGAGGAGGGAATCAGTTCTCTCTTCCATTTTGGCCTGCAGTCTCTTAGGGACATGCCTGCCAGCCAAGCTGGAGTTGGAAGGGAATTCTTGAACAGATGGGGGTGCACGTGTAGGAGAAGAAAATAGCTGCTCCATCACCCTCTTTCTGAGGCTCTCCCAAGCCCAGTTTGGGCTGTCTCACTGCATAGGTATGCAGGCTGGTGCTGTTTTTAAAAACAAAGGGTTTTCCTCTCTGGATGGGGCTGCATGCTTTCCCTGGCCAAAGGAATGCAATCCCCCCACCCCAAATCCCACCCTAGTAAGGAAGGGAGTGAAGAGAACCTACGAAGGCTGCTCAGTATTCACAGCCATGGTTCTGGGCTGTTAAAGAGCATCACTATGATCTTGAGCAGCAAGCTAAAAGGCAAAGAGTAATGCCATTAGCCAATGAGCAAACCAGTAAATGGGGCACCTCAACCACCTTTATCCAGGGCCAGGAAGGTCTTGGATAGAAAATGACAGATGAACAGGGATTAGAGTAGGCTATTCAGAAGGTTCTGGAAGTGATGGGAACGCAGTAAACTGAGGGACACACAGAGCTGTAGGCCAAACCTCTGAGAGAATACTTCTTAGGCCCAAATAATGAGAAGCCTTCTAGCCGGGATTAGGTAGAGGCAGTTGTCAGGGGAGTTTGGGGAACTGTGCTAACAGGGGTTTCCTGTCTTCAGTTTCATCTGTGTCTACAGTACAAGAAGGAGCAGAGGACACTTCTGACTTAGATAAAACTCCATTCCTTCACTGTCTCCCTAAACAACTATTCGCAAATTCAAACCTTGCAGCTATGACTTTGGATGTGGTGCTTTCACCAGACTCACATGGATCTGCAGAGATTGCTCACAACTTGGGAAGGGTGCAGGCAGCCTCTTTGACACCAGGCAAACAGGCCTGTGGGAGGAATGCTGGACTGAGAGGCAGGAGACTTTGCCGGTGGTAACTATCTAACAAACACCTGGCACTTCTCTGAGGCCAGTCTCCTTTCCTTTCTACCAAAAAAGGATTAGGAGAAAAAACGAGTCACCTACTTCCTAGGGTATGGGCCAAGGGGTGTCCTAGAAACGAGATCTGAGGGGAGGAAGACAGACTGATGGACGTTTCTTGGGGGCAGGATGCCTTTTCTCCTACTCCTGTCTCCCCAGCCCCAAGCTTCTCCGTATAGGCCTCTTTTAGAATCCACTTTTAAAGAGCTCTAATTCACCCTTTTACAGAAATACGTAGTATCTCACCAATCCATTATATTTTAGACTTCTACTGCCTAACCCTCTTTGAACCTATTTGACAATTTTTGGATCTTGCTTTTTGAGAAGTAGCCTCCAAAAACAAATTGCTTCTATAAATGTGACATTCATTCCGTCTCCCTCACTTCAGCTGTACCAGTTTAAACAAAAAATTCATGTGGCTCGAATCTAAACTGAAGACCTTTGTATATAAATGGTCTCTTGATAAATTTCAAGGTTATCATTTAGACTTAGTTAATGTAACCCAAAAGATCACATTCTAAACCAGGGACAAAGTGGCACACACCTGTAATGCTCACTATTTGGAAGGCGAAGGCAGGAAGACTGGTCAGAGTTAGCCTGGATAACTGAGACAATGACTCAGAAAAATGAAATGGACTAGGGCTGTAACTCGGTGTTCTTTGGGTTCAGTCCTTAATACCACTCCCTATCCTCAATCACATTCCATCTCCTCAATGGATGCTGGGAAGGGCCAGATTTTCTGTCTATGGCATTTCCCAGTTGTTACAGGGGGAGATCAGGAGAGAAGAATGATAAGGCAAGAGTCTGTTCATTAAGGCATTCCAATAGTGATCAGCTGACACTTCCTGTGACAAGTGGGAATTTTTTCCTGACAGGTGTTCTGGCATCCAAACCAAGCATACCCTGAATTCAGCTTAGGAATAATTCTGTTTACTCTAAGAAAAGCAGAGCAACATAAAGAGAAGCAGGGAACTGCTTTCTAGTTTTATGTGTTTGGGTTTTCTTTTCCTATAAAAGCCCAAAATGGCCTTGTTAGAGAATGAGCCCCGCCACCCCACCACCATTCCTCTGAAGAAGGTCCATTTCCCCCTTTCCTCGAATTGACATAAAATGAACTGAGGGTAGGGGACACTATCACTTCAGAGAACTCAGTCTGGTCTCTGCAACATTTGATGCCTACATTGCTAAATAATTACCAGACAGATGATCATCCACCCCTGACAGGAATAAAATGCATATGTGAAAGAGTATCTCAGACTGAGACAAGGTTATCCAATAGTTGAGTACTCAGCACATTTACAGAGCCTATGCCTGGAATTGAAAAATAATTTTTCTCTAGAATATATATATTAGACAACACTTACAGAACAGCAGGCCAGTCAGCCTGTGCAAATATGTTGCTACCTATTTTCTCAGCATGAATTGAGATTTTTTTAAGGCCCTGGCTTTAATACAGGTGACAAGCTATGATTTGCCCATTCTCTTATCTTTGCTCCTGGGGGCAAGTCTAAGAACGTAGGTTCACAAAAGGAATCTAAGGAACATTCTCTCCCACATCTACCCACACTTATCCAACTTTCACCCCAGGTCCCTGAAGCAGAGGGTTCTGAAGAAGTGAAGAACAGCCATCAATTTTGTACAGTACTGTGAATTCTGGGTTCTCCCATCCTCAAAGGGAGAATGCCCAGGAATAGTATGGCTTCTTTTACATCAGTGCTGACTCTGGGAAACAAAGACACAGTGGCCAACTACACAGACATGGGAAGGAATGCAAAGCAGTGCCTGCCTGAGGAGGGCTGAGCCATCTTCCCTCTGCAAAAACAGCAGCACAGTGATATTTCAGGCTCTGCCTATGTCAGGCTCCTGACATGCACCATATGTAGCTGCAAATCCCAATCAATTTCAGAATTGCTTAACTGCTGGAACGCCTTCCTCAACACTGTAATTTACCCTCAAAAGAATAAGGAGCAAGCACTCTCGCCCTCCCAGAACCACATTCTACTAAATGCCACCCCCTCCCATATCCCACTAACCTACCTACGCAAAAGAGGAAGGCAAATAACCCTCCTCCAAGCCCGCAACAGACGGCTACAGCACATATGCCACTGACAAGAACTTTTATTTCTTTTTAATGACATTAAACACAACTGCTACAAGGGAAAAAACATGGTAAAGAGGAGACACTAAACTTCAGTTTCATAACTGATCCTGACAACAATGCAAGTAGATCAGGGTCTGTATTAGATGTAAAAAATATATTTCAGGTGCCTTTATTACAAATAAACTATTTAAACAGCACATTGTACTCTGTTTTGTCAAGACCCTTGTGGTAAGAATGTCACTATGGATGAAGAAAGCTAAGTAAGCAGTTAAATGCACAAAACACTTACTCAAATTTAAAAATACAGCTAGGCCACAGCAAATATGAGATAGGCAGTTTTTTTTTTTTTTTTTTTTAAAGACAGGGTCTCACTATGCAGTTCAGGCTTGCCTTGAGTTTACTATGTAGCCCAAGCTGGCCTTGAAATTGAAGTGATCCTCCTGCCTCAGCCTCCCAAGTGCTGGGATTACAGGCGTGTGCCACCACGCCCAGCTAGATAGGCATCTTTGAAAAGAGGTTAAAACTCCAGATTCTACCCACTACCATCTTTAAGGCAAACATGCCAGATAATGAGTTTTCTTTGGCTTTGTTTTTTCTTCTTGAAGAATACCATGTTAACCACTAAAGAACAGTTCTCTCCTCCCCCGGTCCAACAGATTTAATTAAGCTGCTAAAGCTTTGGAAAAACAGAATTATTTGAGCTAACAGGAAATATGAGTGTCACATTGTCTAGTTAACCTGTCACTCATTTGACTTGGCAAAGGCAATGCTCCCATTACACATTCCATTTAAACCTTCCTGTACCAGGATGGCAGGAACGTAAGTTACAGATTTTTGCTGAAGCAAAATGCTGTCCCTTCTGTCCTTGGGTTATCTGTGAGGAACTAGACAGCTGTAATGCTAGCTACTCCATTTAATTTTAACTATGCTTTGGTCCCAAAGGTGAGTGTCTGGCATGTCTCACTCCATCAGGCTAATTTAGGGCAGCCTGGAGAAGTGACCAATGAAATAAATGCCAATTATGCCAACTGAAGGATAGATTTTGACTACTGCCTTCAAATGGAATTTTTCCATTACATTCTAGTTCCAGAATCTAAACAAAATGTCCAAGGAAAAGAGAATCCTTGACTGGATAAAAAACATTGAACACTTACAGGCATCTATCCAAATTTACTGGCAGCTTGAACGACCAAACTTTTCCTATCAGTTTCTAAAGTGGGGTAGGATGTTTAAGACAGGTTACTCACAAAGATGAGGCTGATGAAACGACAAAACCAGACAGAAGCTACAACAGCTAGGAACAACTTTCACAGAGAATAAATAGCAGCATAAATGTGAGACAGCAAAACTTCCCCAAATGATGTCTAAAACTATAAAGAAAGAGCAACAAACTCTTTAAAACATCCATTAAGACAGATGCACAAAGTCTGCCAGCTTTGGTGTGAATATCAAACTTCAAGATCAGGTAATACTTTTGTGGACAGACTCAATCACAATACTATCAGACCCACTTAAGCAGTTATGTGAAACTATGCATGAGGGGCCTACCCAAATGAGGAGATGGTAACATCAAGGGTCTAAAGACACCTGTTAACCAGTACTGGAGACAAGAGTGCCTCTCCAGGCACTCTCCCAGTGGACAGAGGCTCCTTGACTAAACTCACACTTGTTAAGCTTCATCAGATGAAACTGAAGACCCACTGATATCTCAGTGGCACTGACCTATCAAGTCCAGTGTATAGGGGGAGCAGTTCTTCAACAAAAGATCTCGCAAGGAGGCCATTCTAAAGAGGCATATCCACGTCTAACAACATACTGGAATACTGCCTATAGATCCCCAGGGAACAGAGTGGTCACTGTGTGGTGTGTGTGTGTATGTGGGAGGGTACATGAAAACAAAACAAAAAAAGAAAAATTCCTGAAGGCCAGAGAAGACTGTCACAGGACCATGACGTATTCAACAGGGGTTGGTCAGCAGTATTCGGTCAGAATTAAGGTGTGTAAGATCTGTAAACACTATGTGCAAAATAAGTTTAACAGAGGATGAAGAAAAGCTAGGCTGGGCATGCTGGCACCTGCCCGTAATCCCAGCACTCAAGAGGCAGAAGCACGAGGACTGCTGAGTTCAAGGCCAGCATGTGCTACACAGTGAACTTAAGACTGTGTCTCAAAAAAAAGAAAAAGAAAAAAAAAGCCAATGATGATAATAAAAATAGGGCTGGAGATGTTGCTCACTGGTACAGTGCTTACCCAGCATGCATCAAGCCCTGCATTCAATCCCCAATAGCTAGAGAGAGAGCAGGAAAAAAAAAATAGTAGCTTACAAGTACAGAAAGCAGAGGGTTTACATTTTTAATTCGTCTTTTCAATGGATTTTTCTCCTACCTCATCTTGTTTCAAATATCCTAGACTACCAACTTTAAAATACTGATAGGTAGTCAGAGATTCAAATTTTAAAAAGAAGAGGATTTGGTAAAAGTGACTTATATCCACTCACAAGAAATCATGATAATTAACACTGGCTTACAGTCTGGTAAAGAATCTCCTCCTGACAACCCAGTGTGGGGAAAATATTTTTGCCAGCTGTTTCTCAGACAAAGGATTACTATCTAGAATATATAAAGAACTCAAAAATCAGACCCCCCCAAATTTAAAGACCTGACCCCAAAAATGGGCATCTGAGATGAATACACTTCTCAGACGAAGAAGCACAACAAATAAATACATGAAAAAACATTCAACATCATCAATCATTTGAGACATAAACTGAAACAACGCTGAGATTCCACTGCACCTCAGAAAGAAATCAACCAATAACAAATGCTGTTATCAAGAAATCAGTAACAAATGCTGGTGGGGATGTGGAGAAAAAGGAACCCTTCTCTACTGGTGGTGGGAGTGTAGACTGGTGCAACCACTGTGGAGATGCCTCGAAAAACTAGGACTAAAGGTTCCATTCGATCCAGCTACTCCTTCTTGGTATCTTCCTGAAAGAATTAAAAGCATCATACCACAGTGATATATGCACACTCGTGTGTATAGCAGCAGTTTGTAATAGGCCAATCTTGGAAGCAGCCCAAATGCCCATCAACTATTGAATGGATAAAGAAGATGTGTTTTTTTTTTTTTTTTAAAAACTACAGTGGAGTACTACTCTGCCATAAAGGTTAAACTTGAGACATTTCTAGGTAAATGGATGCACTTTGAGACCATTTTCTTAAGTGAAATAAATCAGACACATGTGTAAATACCACAGTTTCTATAGTGTAAGAAACCAAAAGTGTAAATAAGGGCCAAAATGTATAATTGGTATTGTGAAATAGAAGAAAATGTTCAAATGGGGAGAGGAACAAGGGACAGGGTGGGGTAAAGAAGGAAAAAGAAAAAAGAGAAAAGAAGGAAAAATGGAAACAAAGCTTTTACAAATGGGGAGGGAAAAAGGGATTGAAGGGAGGGTAGGGAATGGGAAAAAATAATATAAGGGTAACTCAAAAGAAAAAAAAGGAATCTCTTCCTTACAAAAGATTCAAAGATGTTTTCTTTTGGGCACTAGACGTAGATTTCACTTCTGCATAGATGTGGGTGTTTTGCTTGAGCCTAGGTATTTCGGCTTCACGCTGGCTTTCAAGGGGGCAGTTACCTTCAATTTAAATTAAAAAAAAAAACAAAAACAAAACTATTAACACTGCTTGAAACACACACAGACAGATACACAAAATCGGGAGGGTCTTCATACTAAAAAATTTCAATCCAATAATGGGCATTTCCAGAAGGAGTCAAGTTCTTTAAATAAAATCTTGTGAAAAATAAAATTCAAAATATACAAAGAATAAAACAGCAGAAGAAAAGGAGATATGACTCTGGACAGGATGCTAGCGAGGGGCCTTCACTGCTGGTGGGAGGAGACAAATGGACCGTATGAGAAATCCGGAAGACGCTGGAACCGGTGGTGGCTGCGCTTGTTCCTCTCAACCCACTGAGTCAGGCTGTATCTCTGCAGAGGTTTCTGTCGAAACCGGGCATAATTGCTATCAAAAGAGAGTAAGAATAGAAAGGGTATTTTAGTTGGAATGTATATGACACTTTCTTGTGTACGAAAAAATTTAGCACAGCAATTTTAAGAATATAAGGGCTGGCACTGTGGCTCACACCTGTAATCCCAGCACTGGGGAGGCTGAGGCAGGAGAAATGCAGTGAGTTGGCGGCCAGCCTAGGCTACATAGTGAGTTTGAGACCAATCAAGACCAACCTGAATGGGGCCAGGATTTTAGTTTAGCGGTATAGCACCTGCCTGGCAAGTGAGAGGCTCCGGGTACAAAAAATAAATAAATAAAATTATACAATACATATATGTTGTTTTTTTTTTTTTTTTTTTTTGCACTGGGGATTGAATCTAAGGCCTTCACATTGAGCTGTACCCAGCCTTTACTTACTATTTTTAATTTTGAGACAGGATCTTGTTAGGTCACTAAGTTGCCCAGGTTGGGCTCCAACTTATGATCCTCCTGCCTCAGCCTCCCAGAGTACTGGATATTTTATATTTTGACTCTCCTAATTTTAGAAATTTCACATTGTTTTAATTATATAAAAAACACATCATAAGTATTATTTCCTTCCAATTCTCAAAGGTACCAGTATCCACACAAGTATAATGGTGGTATGTGCCACATATATAATCTTCTTTAAAAAACTAATGTAAAATAAGGTCTATATTTTCCATCCAGAAGTATTTAGGGCAACATCTGTACTTTATTGCTTTCATCAGACCTATACTTCTAAGACGATCTCAATATCGCACAGCTCAAGATTGCTCAGGACACAGCAGTTAAAATTAGAACAAAATTCCCACCACAGAAGGTAAGTCATCATATGAATATCACATCACAAGTTTTGAGACTGAACAGCTAATGGCACAGGCTTGGAAGTCTCCTTAAGTCATATGCTGGGCCAGGGTTCTAAGTAAGACTTTCTGAGATAACTTGATTCCATTCTCAATTATAAAACTGCTCCTAATAACTACCTAGATAACTACCCCCCTCCCAAGCTTTTTAAAGGTATGGATTTTTGGCTTTTCCCTTCCACCTGGACTTAACAACTCAGAATCCCTGGACTCAGGGCCTAATTATCTGCATTTTAAAATATCTTCATATTTGGTTATAAGGAATAGACTGAAAATAATTTTAACTGTTACCAGACATTTATCCATTACCATATACAAGTATTTACTGAATTTTCTTTTTTTGAGGGGTAAAGGGCGTTTCTGGGGATTTAACCTAGGGCCTTTGCACTAAGCTATATTCCCAGCTCTTTTTTTATTTTGAGGCAGGATCTTGCTAAGTCATTCAGGCTGGGCTTGAACTCATGATCCTCCTATGATCCTCCTGCCTGGTCTCTCAGAGTTGCTCAATCTTTTAAACCTCATCTCACTTAATACTAGTGAAATCCTACTGGGAAAGTAGTTAATTTCTCATTAACTCTGAATAGGTAAGAAAATTAAGCCTCGGGTTAAATTGTCCCAGGTCATATAAGAGAGTAAGAAGAAAGGCCTGGATGTGAATTCACATTGATTCCAAAAGTTACTTAATAATAATTATACTATACTGCTTCCACCACAACCACCACACACCTACCACCACCACCCAGTGCCAGTGATTGAACCCAGAGCCTTGTGCATGTCAGACTGAGCTACTTGTTACACCCCTAACCCTACCCTGCTTTCTTGAGAACTGCTATGATTTTGGCAACTATAGAGGAAATGTGAGTGTAAGGACCCTGAAGTGAGGACATTTGACATGCTTACAAACAGCAAGGAAACCAGCGTAAGTGGAACAGAATGAACAACAGGAAGAACAACAACAGATGAGGTGGGTAAGTCTATGCCAAAGCACACACACCTCTACAGGTGCCTGTGAAGTTGGGAAGACAGAAGATGGAAAACCATTGCAAGACATCAAGCAACCAAGAGAAGCTGATATTCTTTTTAAAAAAAACTGTTCTGCCTGCTGAGCTAAGAACGATAGCCAAAGGCAGAAGCTGGAAAAACATTTGCAATAACCCTGGTGAAACTATGAGAAATGGTCAGGTTCTATATATACATGTACAGCATACAGGATTTGCTGATAGAATATGGGACGAGCGAGAAGAGTCAAAGATGACTCCAAGGCTTTCAAGTAACTAAATCAATCTATAAAGCTATAATGCATCAAGAATCCAGATCTTCATTTTATTTTATTTTTAAAATTTTATTTATTTATTATTTGAGACAGGGTCTCACTGTGATATTCAGGCTAGCCTTGAACTCACTATATAGCCTAGGCTAGCCTCAAACTCCCAGCAATCCTCCTGCCTCGGCCTCCCAAGTGCTGGGATTACAAGAGTACGCCACCACACCAGGCCCATCTTCATTTTATTGACTGGAGAAGTGGAGTTACTTGATCAAAATCATAGAGCCAGTTAAACATTGCCAAAGTAGTATTAGAATCCATGCTTCCCCAATTTCGGCCTAGTTCTAATTCCATTCTACTACAATGTTTCTTTTTCTACCTCTAGAATTTTTTTTTCGTAAGAGACATTTTATTTTTTTGCACCGGGAATCAAACTCAGGACCTTGCACTTGCCAGGCAGGCCCTGTGCCACTAATCTATATTCCCAGCCGCTCCACCTCTAGAATTAAACAACTGCAACCCTAACTCTCCCACAGTCCCCTCTGCAACCAAATTCTACCCTTCTCCTAATCACTCACCGCATGGTCAGATCCGAAGGATGCTGCCGATCCATCAAATTATATAGCTCCCCCGAGGGACCTGTGATAGAGGAATCAGTGGTTAGAAAGAAGCTTAGAGAACTCTCCTAGTCTATGTCAAAGCAGGGAAAGAAAAACAGGCACTGGTCCCAATAATATTTACTTAGGATTATAATAAGCAGTTAGCACAAAAACTATAAGACAGAGTCGGGCATCTGCTCTTAGATTGTGTTGAAGCAATAATGGCAGCCATTATTCATTCAACATTTATTAACTCCTACATTGTGTGAGAAAATTTACTGGTCAATAAGAATATGGTAGAGCACAAAACATGGTACCTGCCCGCATAGCAGACATGTGCTTCCAGAACAGTGTGATAAATAAAGTGATAGGAGAAATATAGGCTGTTATCGATAGGCAGGCGCTATGCCGCTGGGCTATATCCCTGGCACTAGGCTGTTACTGAGACTGGGGATAAGGGATTAGTAAAAGCCTCTCCAAGGAAAGTAAACTATAAAAAGAGATCTAAAGAATGTATAGAAGTTAGTAATGTAAAGGAGGAGTATGAGGTTGGGCAAAGGCCCAGAGGCAAAAGAGAGCAAAATATATTCAGGCAACAAGAAGAGTTTAGAATAGATAGAAGTAGCTGCTCTTTGCTAACAAGAAAAATTGCTAGAGGTTGTTTCTCTAACACCTGGGAGCTTAGCAGCAATATACTAGGCCAGTGACAGCAAACATTTTAGAAACTGAGCGCACAAACTGCAACCCAAAACCCACTTATTTATCATAAAGTGCCAGCACTGCAATTAAACCTGAATACTGAGGTTTTAGATTAGAAAAACAGCTGTTATCCAACGCTCAGCTGCTGGGACTGATGTACTAACAGAGAGCTCTGCATGACTACTGTAGCACATGTGCCATAGGTTTACCTGAGTGCTGGGACTATAGGCATGAGCCACCACGCCCACCGGATTTTACCTACTTTTAAAAATATCTTACATGCAGAGAGATGCTTTGTTTTTTGTTTGTTTTGTTTTGTTTTGTTTATGTGTTTTGCAGATAGACGTTCTGACATTTCAGAGATGAAAACTAGTTCAGGGAGATGAATTTTCCTTAAATGCATAGTAACCCATAAGTCAACTAGTTCCTGTGTGATACCATTCTCTTGCCACTATGTGATAATGCTAGGGGCTGGGGATTTAGCTCAGCAGC